CGAATAATTAAAGGGTTTTCCTCCTTTTCAGAGCTGCTTCATTGTTCGTGGACAAAAATTCGGTTTGGGTGAAAAAATCGCCCGCGATGGAGGGCGGAAAAGACAGGGGATGGATGAACCTGAGGGGCTGAGACATCGAGCGTCCAGAAAAAATCGAGACGGACATGTTTGTTAATCGTTGTCGGCTTCTTGGGGCCCTCACCGGCCTCTCTGGAACGTCACTGGGATTGGGTCGGGCATGTCCTCCAACTGGCGGATTTTGGAACAACCATAAAAAATTGTACAACATTCGAAAATCGCCAAAAACAATAGAAAGATCGCCCCCAGACTATTTTCCCCCCCGTCCTAAGTGGGGTTCGTATGTTCTCTGGGCACCTCCGCGCAATCATTTTTCCGCACCTCCTCTCCTCCTCATTCACTCCCATATCATCATCGTCATCACCAGCACACACATAATCACCAGCGCGCTCACACACTCATTCACTCATCATCGCATCGTCACCATCATCAGATTCGCAAAACTTCCTCATCAGCGTCAATATCACCAACTTACCAGCTCCATCACCATCCCATCATGATCACCGACCAATTGGGATCCTCGTCTGTGAATGAATTGCGAAGAAGTCTCAGGCGGGAACCACCCCCCTATGGGTCCCGCAATTCATGTTCGAATTCGAACAGGTCATCGGAAACCTGTAGCTGTCGTGATCTCGGGCTCCGCAGGCCTGAATATTGAGAAAGTCTCCGGCGGGAACTTCGTCTGTGAATGGATTTCGAAAATGTCTCAGGCGGGAATCCCCTTCCTATGGGTCGGAAACCTGTAACAGTCGTCACTTTCGGGCTCTTCAAGCCTGAATCTTGACGAGGTCTCAGGCGGGAGCCTCGTTTGTGAGTGAACCGTGAATTGCGAAGAAAGTTTGGGCCCCCAGGCGGGGTCCCCTTCTATATGGGAGCCCCATCCCCATGTTGGAATCCGACCAGGCCGCCGCCAAACGTGCAACCTGGAATCCGACCGGGCTCCTCCGGCATGGGCATGGAAAAAATCAGGTCGGGGTCTTCCCGGCCGGGGGAAATCCCAGGGGGGGGGCGCAGAGAGCGGGGCGGGGTCGGAAGGGAGGGCCCGACAGGATTGGGAAATCCCTGGGATAAACCTTCGCAGTAGCTTAGATCTCTCCAGGTTCCGACGAGGGGGGTCCTCCAACGCCTCCTCCTCCCCTCCTCCTCTTCCTCCTCGTTTCCGTCCCCATTTTCCTCCTTTTCCTCATCTTTTCTCTCTCTCTCTCTCTTTCTCTCTTTCTCTTTTTTTTGTGTTTTCTCTCTCTCTCTCTCTCTCTCTCTCTTTTTGTTTCTCTCTTTCTCTCTGTCTCTCTCTCTCTCTCTCCCTCTCTCTCTTCCCTCCGTCCTCCAACTCTAGGAGCTCGGTGGAACCCGAGCGGGCCATCGGATCCACTGGGGCGCAGAGGAGTCCGAACGAAGTCTCTTCGGTTCTTTAGAAGGTCACTCGCTCGACCCATCGAGGGAGGAGGAATGCTGCGTCTACGTCATGTTTCCCCGCGCCACGTGCATGCGGAACATGTTGATCCTGCGACCGCCCCAGCGGGAGTTTCTGGAGAGCGGGACGGCGTCCCTGCGGAATGCGCTCCGGCAAGAGAGCGGGGAACTCCAGGGCAGAGGCGGAACAGCTCGCGGCAGAGGTGGGGTTCGTGCTGCCTCCCGCCTGAGTGCGGCCGCGACTAGTTCGGTGCCTGCGGGGTTGTCCCAACGGCTTGCTCCCGCGCCCCAGCAACTCGCGGGGTTGTCGCAACGGCCTGGCCCGCGGGATTGCCCCAGAGGCTGCGCGATGTGGCCATTCGGTACTGCGAGAAGGAGACAGCAAGGACGCCTCTCTGATCACGAGGACGACGTGAGGGGCATTTCCAGATTCGCCGATCGGATTCTCATGTGGGGTCCTACCCGTCGGAGTAATTTGACGATTTTTGAATACACCTCCTGCAGAGGGACATGCCCGACGCAAGCCTGGGAAGTGGTCGAGGGGGTCAAGGGGCCCGCGCCTCGAAACGATCGAGGCGCGGATGCCTGGGGCCGACGCGTGGGCATGCGCTCTCGCGCCTGCCTCTCCTCACTTCTCGCCCCCGCTCCTCCCTCCCTTCCTTCTCCTCCCTCTCTCTTCCTCGCCCTGCCTCCCTCCCTTTTCCTTCCTCCCTTCTCCTTCCTCTTTCTCCCTACTTCTTTTTTCCTTCCTCCCTCCCTTCTCCTCCCTCCCTTCCTTCTCCTCCCACATCCCCAAATCCCTCCTTCGTCTTCTCTCCGGAGACGTAAAAGGAGAGCTTCCAAAAGGCCCCACAGGAAATCCCCACGAAAGATGAAACCGGGGCGTGAGCCTGAAGGGGGACGCTAGGGGGGACCGGCTCAGTGGGGGAGAACATCGAGCTGGAATCGGCGATGCATCGGCGATAGGTCGGCGGTAAGCACCCGATTGCGGATTCGCGCAATCCTGGGCGGGGCGGGCTATCAGGCCACTATCGACGGTGAGTGAACGATGGGGGGTCGATGCGTCCCAACCTGAGCGTATCTCCCCTCACGTTGCCCCTGAGAACTGGGTAGGATGACGCGGGGGGGTGCGGTCAGGAACTTCTGCTCACAGTGTCGCGGCGGCGGCTCCCGTGTCACGCCATGCTCTGCAGGCGGATGGCGTGTCGTTCTGCTGCCTCGCCTCGCTCCTACCAGGAAGCCCGTCGCAGTATCATGTGGAGCGCGGGGCACTGAGAGCTGCGAAGAGATCCAGCAACAGCGCAGACTAGGGATGTACACCTACATTGAACTTTCCGACGTTCCACGGGCCAGCGGGAGACGGGGAAGAACGCTAGGGGGGAACCGGCTCAGGGGGAGAACCATCGACCTGGAACCGGCTACGCGTCGCCGATAGATCGCGGTACGCTCTCGGTCGCCGAACCGCACGTCTGGGCGGGACGGGCTATCTGGCCCCGTTCGGCGATCAATGGGCGATTGGGGGTCGATGCCCATCCCCCCTGAGCGTGTTCCCTTCACGTTGCACCTGAAGAGGGGACAAGGATTGTGGATGCCATGGCAATGGACACTCTAACAATCCTATAATTGCATTAAACATGTATTTTAAATGTGTAAAACATGTTCAAAACATGGTTCAACCATGTGTTTACATATTCGAAACATGTTTGAAGCATGTTTTAGACATCTGGTAATTATTTGGCAGCATGCTTCCTCTCCATTAGTCGACTTCCACAACGCTGAGGGTGCCGCCACCTCCTCGATGGAACGGGTCCCCCCTTGACCTCCCCAGGGAAAGCGCCGTCCCCAACACCATCGACCGTCGAGCCTCTTTCCTCCTCGATCCTCGCCTTCCAGGAGGCGGTGGTGACACCCCCTGCTGACGACCCTCTTCGGCACTGCCCGAATACCAGCGCGGTGGGGGAAAGGAGGGCCGCCGGCAAGAGGCGGTGCAGGTGTGGAGCAATGCACGCCGACGAGTAGGGGAGGCGGGCCAAGTAAGGAGCTGCACTCTATACACCGACGTCTTTTCCGACCCCGCACTGAAACTCGCACAAGAAGGGGGATCCTAATGTATACGGGATCCTGGTGTATACGTTGTCCGCTGCTTCCCCGGGAAAACCGTGGAAAAACTATACACCACACCACCCAGACGTCGTCCCCGACCCTCAAAGAGTCCTGGGATTGAAAAACAGCCCGCGACTGGTAGGGTCATGCTCCAGTTTCCGACCGATGCCCGCTCTTGGAGGCAAGCCGGCGGCCACTGCAGGGAGCCCCTGGGGGTCCCGCAGCAGTGCGGGGACAGACCATGCGGTGACCTCGAAGCCCCAGGAGACCTCACCGCGCGGTCCGCGTCACCGCACGGCTCTGTGGCCTGGGATGCACCAGCCGCCAGGGGCGCCCCGGGAGAGCGACCCGAGTCCCACAAAACCGTGAGCAGCAGCAGAGGCCCGGTCAGACCAAAAGGTTGGGCCGTGAACGGGCGGGGCACGACATGGCAAAAAGTAGGAACAGTGCGAACAGGACGTGCACGACGAGTGAGCAAGCTTTGCTTTGTGCCACTGCAGGCTTCGTGCCACCGCGAATTCCCAACGACTCACCACACGGTGCGGCCACCGCATCGTTCCGGGGCCCCCGAGCGAAGCCAGGACCGGGACAGCATCGTGCCGGGATGCATCGGGGGTATCTGAGATCCAGCGGTTCTGGAGGATGCGTCGGGCGCCGCGGTCACTCTGGAGCGATTGATCCTGGTCCTGGGCTTGCCCGACGCCAACCACCTCGGTTTGGCCGACTCCGGAAACCCTGGCTCCAGGAGTGTTGGCGTCTCGCTGCTGCTTCCGCCGCCTTCGGCCTTCCGCCACCCATCTGCTGGCGGGCACACCGCCGTCGTCTTCTTCTCCGCCGGCCCTCGCCGAGGGCCAGGGAACGCCGAAGGCGAGAGGCCCTCTCCGGAGCGCGCCGTGTGAGTCCCCGCCGACTCCTGCGCAGACGACCACACACGAGGGGGCACGTGGGGGGGGGGGGACGGGCTCAGGGGGGGAACCATGGAAGGCTGCAGGCGGCGATGCGTCGCCGATATATATATATATATATATATATATATATGAATATATATATATATATATATATATACATAGAGAGAGAGAGAGAGAGAGAGAGAGTGAGAGAGAGAACGGGCATGGGCCCCCGATCGGCGATATCCACACGCTCCTGCGCCGGGTGGGCCATCGGCCCCTACCGCCTACCGCCAGTCTCGGGGGCGCGCAAGCATGGATGAGCGATCCATGGACTTGGTGCGCGGTCGCCAAATCCATGGATCGGGGGAGGTGTCCTCCCCACCAAAATGCGGCCGGTGCCGCCTCGTTCGGCGGCGGGGGGGCGATGCGGTTCCCCCGGACCGTGTGCCCCCCCCCCCCCCGAGCGCTGCCCCTGGCCAACACGAGCTGCACTCCTTTTCCCGGCACGCGGCCGCGCTACGGGGCGAGGCGTGTCGCGGGCTCTCTGTCGCAGCCCCCGTGCTCGCGCTCGCCCCTCGGCGACAGCTCGGCGGCGGCGACCTCGGGAGGGCCCTCTTTCAACATCAGCCCTGGCCATCCACGGCCAGGAGTTTTCAAGGGGACCACATGCGAACCCTACCCCTACAACCCACGACTTCTGAGGGGGAGGGTGGGGTTCACTCCGCTCGGGAGCTCCCGAACGAAGTGAACCCAACCCTCCCCCTCAGAAATCGTGGGGGGTAGGGGTAGGGTTCGCATGTGGCCCCCTATTTTTGCTCAGCGTGTCGCGGCGGCGGCTCAGAAGGACACGCTGTGCCCTGCGGGTGGATCGCGAGTCGCTGACCCAGCGTTCCCGACAGTACGCTCGTTGGTGAGATTCTCCTGCGTACGAGCGCCTCACCAGAGGGGCCCGATCACAAGCAAGCTCAGCCAATCGGCGGCGAGCCCCGGGGGGGAAGCGAGAACTTTCGGGCCCTCCCCTCTCAGAAAGCTCGGACGTCCCAAGGCCTTCTGAAAAATTGTATGAGCCTTCCCCGCAAACCAACAAAAACCGTCCCTGAAGGCTGGAGGGCTTCTGAGAAGCCCCGCCGCCTTCTGAGGAGGCCTCCTCCTTCTCACCTTTCCCCCCCCCTGAAAGCTCGCCGCCGGGTCAGATCTGCTGCCGGGAGGACTGCGGGGCCCAGAGGAGCGCAAGCGGCGCGGTGCTGAGTCGAGGCGGCCTCGCGCGGGGCGTCGCGGCCTCGCGGGCCACGCGCGGCCCCCGCCCTCGCGCTGCTGCTCCTGCCCCGCACTCCCCCCCCTCCCGCGCGCGTGCTCCGGCAGGAGAAGGGGCGGAACGCCATACGTCGACGTCGGGGATCGACCACAGAGCGGCTCTGCCCCCACATTGGTGTCCGCGTCGAACCCTCAGCACACACACGTGCGCAGAAGACTCACAGACCCGCGGCAGTTCTACGAATCTTCCGTGGACTCGACGAAAAAAACCGGATCTGCCCCCACATGGATGGCCACGTCGAATCCTCAGCACACACATATGCGTAGAAGACTCGTAGAGCCGCGGAAGCGCTACGAGTCTTCCGTGGGCTCGACGAGGAACAACAATTCTGGGGTGCATCAGTTCTGTAGTTGATCCCCTGCTCGAAAACTGCACACTTCTTGAACGATCGGGCCCATCATCAGCGTCAAAGGGAGGATGGGGCAAGAGGTGAAGGGGGAGGGGAGGAAAACCACGAGGCGGAGGAGGATCAGGAGATTTGAGATGTGAGGAGGGCGGAGGAGCAGGAGGATGAGGCGCAGGTTGAAAGGGTCCCGAACATGGGCCCCTGGATGACCAGAAAGACCGGCCAGGGTAGACTTTTGGCAGACTCTGTGATCTCACCTCTGGCTTACAGCGCGCCGCTATGAGGCGCTGCTGCTTGTTCGAGCTTCATGCGTTTTCCGCGCAGCGCTCTTTTTGTTTCAATCCGCGCAGCGCACTTGGTCCATTATGTGCATTGTCTGTTGGAGCGCCCTATGACAGCGCAGACGCGTGAGTGATCTTGCCAAGAGCGGCGGGAAGAGAGCTGCCCGCCGCGTCTTGGAGAGCGCCTCGCATGTCTCGTGTCGGGCGCTCCGGAGGCTGGGCCTGAGCCCTCAGCGGCAACAGCCTGGGCGGCGGACGCGCTGCTCGCGGTGGGCACATCAACAGAATCTGCAGTTTCTGCGGTGCCCCTCCTGGGGGCGGGCGCCTCCTCCTCCCCTTCGGGTGGAGCTGCCTGGCGACGGCCACTGTAGAAGCCTCTTAGATGGGGTCCGAGTAGATGGGGTCGGAGGATCGCGCCGCATCGGCGATGCATCGGCGACGTCGGCGATGCATCGGCGCCGTCGGCGCGGAGAACATCGGGCTCCACATCGAGCCGCATCGGCGATGCGGCGCGATCCTCCGACCCCATCTGGGAGGCCCAGACATTGGTGCTGCTGCGGTACGGTGAGCTGCTCGCCGATGCGACACGATCCTCCGACCCCATCTGGAAGGCCTAGACATTGGTGCTGGTGCGGCACTGTGAGCTGCTCGCTGTTGGCGGGGAGGGCACGGGGGGCTTCTGCGGCCAAGGCCTTTTGCACAATCAGAGTGTCGCGGCGGCGACCCCTGCGGCACGGCGTGCGCTGCAAGCGGGTGGCGTGTCAGCAGGGGCCCTGGGACACACAAAATTAGTCACTGCGTGGAGCTCCCTATCTGTGCATCTATTCGCATGGACCTGTCCGCCGTGAATGTCTAGGCGCAAGAGTTTTCGAATATAAACGGGCTTGAGTTGTGACGGTCTGGTCATGAATCTAACTGCGAATGAATTGGAGTGTGAATGAGCCTCAGTAGTACGAGCGCGTCTCTGCGCATGGGCCTGGGGCCTAATTACTGGGGCCTCCTGAAACCTACTGGTGGTTCCTGGGGCCTCCAGGAGCCTCTTGGGGCCTCCTGGTCCCTCCTAGGGAGGATTCGTGCCCCAGGAGAGGCCCAATCTATCACAACATACGTACATGCAACATTGCGGCTGGGAGCCACGGGAGAAGGGCAACCTATAGGAACAAGGTGTAGCACCAAGGACTCCTGCCCCTTTTTTAATGACCACCACAGCTCGCGCTGCACGAGCTGTACGTAGGCGGGCAGGCGGCGCAGAATCGCCACTGCCGCGCCAAGGGTATGTGCCGCCAGCTGGGGCGGCCACGCGAGCCACCCTCCAGCCCGCGCCGAGCCTGACAGGCCCAGACCACCGAAGGCGCTCCCCTCACTCGGCCAGGCGCTTCCCCGTCTTGGGGATCAGCCCTGCGTTGATACTACCGAGCTTCATGTTGCGCTGCCTCATCGCATTGCCCGTTACGGCGTCGCACGTCCTGCCGGGCGATCGGTGCTTCCCTTTGACCTCTTTGGCGTAGGCCTTGCATCGGGTGCACACGCGGTAGCCGTTGATGCTCAGCAACAGATGCCCAGCGCCATCTGCCTCCCTGCTGCCTGACCCTGCAGGCTCCGCGTCCACCAGCATGTCGTCCTGGCGCTCCTCGGCCATCGCCTCGCGGCTACGAGCCTCGCGGGCCGCGGGCCGAGGACTCCTGCCCCAGGAGAGGCCCAATCGATGGGAACATAAACAAAACATTTAGGATTGTGTATAATGGAAAAGGACAGTATATAGAAACATACGCATAACATCAAGACTTCGTGCTCCAGGTGAGGCCCAATACATATATATATATATATATATATACATACATATATAGGAACATACGTAAAACACATGGGATTTCAGCCACTCTTGTTGCCTTCTGAGGCCTCCTGGTGCTTCCTGTGGCCTCCTGGGGCCTCCTGTGGCTTCCTGAGGCCTCCTGGAGCTTCCTGGGGCCTCCTGGAGCCTCTTGGGACATCCTGTGGCCTCCTGAACCTTTCTGTGGCCTCTTGTTGCCGCCTGGAACCTCATGTGAGTCTGGCCAAAACAAGCATACCGATCGAGACATCCTCAAAATCTGGCCCACCTGGGGGGTGAACATGAGCACCTCGCTCGAGACATCCTCCAAAGCTGCTCTGATAGCCAAGGGTGTTGAGACAGAAAACAAGCAAACCGCCTGAGACATCCCCACACAATTGCTGCGACCGGGACCGTGAAAACACCCCTGGCGGCTCCCCTTGGGAGTGCTGAAACCAGCGCCCCGCTTGAGACATCCTCAGAATCTGCTCTGATAGCCAAGGATGTTGAGACAGATTATCCCGGCAACGCAACCTAACAGCGATGTGTAGGAGCATACCATTCTGGACGCATTCCCCTTAAGATTCAGATGAAACTCCAGTTGTAGAATTCTGCTGTTCTCGCAGTCGTAGTCGCATTCGCGATGAAAGTCGCAGTGGCAACGGCAGTCGCAGTCACAGCCTCAGCCTCAGCCTGCCTCAGCCTCAGCCTGCCTCAGCCTCAGCCTGCCTCAGCCTCAGCCTCAGCCTGCCTCAGCCTCAGCCAGCCTCAGCCTCAGCCTCAGCCTCAGCCTTCAGCGCTCAGGCCTCAGCTTGCAGCCTCAGCCTCAGCCTCAGCCTGCAGCTCAGCCTCAGCCTCAGCCTCCTCAGCCTCAGCCTGCCTCAGCCTCAGCCTCAGCCTGCCTCAGCCTCAGCCTCAGCCTGCCTTCAGCCTCAGCCTCAGCCTCAGCCTCAGCAGCCTCAGCCTCAGCCTCAGCCTGCATCAGCCTCAGCCTCAGCCTCAGCCTGCCTCAGCATCAGCCTGCCTCAGCCTCAGCCTCAGCCTGCCTCAGCCTCAGCCTCAGCCTGCTTCAGCCTCAGCCTCAGCCTCAGCCTTCAGCCTCGGCCTCAGCCTCAGCCTGCCTCAGCCTCAGCCTGCATCAGCCTCAGCCTCAGCCTCAGCCTCAGCCTCAGCCTCAGCCTCAGCCTGCCTCAGCCTCAGCCTCAGCCTGCTCAGCCTCAGCCTCAGCCTGCTTCAGCCTCAGCCTCAGTCTGCCTTCAGCCTCGGCCTCAGCCTCAGCCTGCCTCAGCCTCAGCCTGCATCAGCCTCAGCCTCAGCCTCAGCCTGCCTCAGCATCAGCCTGCCTCAGCCTCAGCCTCAGCCTGCCTCAGCCTCAGCCTCAGCCTGCTTCAGCCTCAGCCTCAGTCTGCCTGCAGCCTCGGCCTCAGCCTCAGGCCAGCCTCAGCCTGCCTCAGCCTCAGCCTCAGCCTCAGCCTCAGCCTCAGCCTCAGCCTCAGCCTCAGCCTGCCTCAGCATCAGCCTGCCTCAGCCTCAGCCTCAGCCTGCCTCAGCCTCAGCCTCAGCCTGCTTCAGCCTCAGCCTCAGTCTGCCTTCAGCCTCGGCCTCAGCCTCAGCCTGCCTCAGCCTCAGCCTGCATCAGCCTCAGCCTCAGCCTCAGCCTGCCTCAGCATCAGCCTGCCTCAGCCTCAGCCTCAGCCTGCCTCAGCCTCAGCCTCAGCCTGCTTCAGCCTCAGCCTCAGTCTGCCTTCAGCCTCGGCCTCAGCCTCAGCCTGCCTCAGCCTCAGCCTGCATCAGCCTCAGCCTCAGCCTCAGCCTGCCTCAGCATCAGCCTGCCTCAGCCTCAGCCTCAGCCTGCCTCAGCCTCAGCCTCAGCCTGCTTCAGCCTCAGCCTCAGCCTCAGCTGCCCTTCAGCCTCCGGCCTCAGCCTCAGCCTGCCTCAGCCTCAGCCTCAGCCTGCCTGCCTCAGCATCAGCCTGCCTCAGCCTCAGCCTCAGCCTGCAGCTCAGCCTGCAGCCTCAGCCTCAGCCTCAGCCTCAGCCTCAGCCTCAGCCTCAGCCTTCAGCCTCAGCCTCAGCCTCAGCCTGCCTCAGCCTCAGCCTCAGTCTGCCTTCAGCCTTGGCCTCAGCCTCAGCCTGCCTCAGCCTCAGCCTGCCTCAGCCTCAGCATTCAAAATGTGGCCCGGGAATGGAGTTCTGGGATCTCGAAGAACACGAAGTGGCCTACAACTGGCTCCGGGCATTCAAAATCATGCCCGGGAATGGAGTTCTGAGAACTCGAAGACCACGACGAAGTGGCCTACAATTGGCTCCGGGCATTTAGAACGTGGCCCGGGAATGGAGTTCTGAGAACTCGAAGAGCACGAAGTGGCCTACAGTTGGCTCCGGGCATTCAGAATGTGGCCTGGGAATGGAGTTCTGGGACCTCGAAGACCACGAAGTGTGTATCTGTTTGCTTAAAACGACTTCCGCGGATCCCTGTCCGGATGCCGCCCAGACCCCCCTGGGGAGTCATGATTCTCTCTCCTGACCCTATTAGAAACCTATCAGTCTTCGCTGTTAGGTAAGAACAAGCAAGCCGCCTGAGACATCCCCACACAATTGCTGCGACCGGGACTGTGAAAACACCCCTGGCGGCTCCCCTTGGGGGGTGCTGGAACCAGCGCCCCCTCTGATACATCCTCAGACTCTGCTCTGATAGCCAAGGATGTTGAACCAGAAAACCAACAAACAACTTGAGACATCCCAGCAAAATCGCTGCGAGCGGGACCGTGAACACTCCCATGGCGGCTCCCCTTGGAGGGTGCTGAAACCAGCGCCCCGCCTGAGACATCCTCAAAATCTGCTCTGATAGCCAAGGATGTTGAGACAGAAAACAAGCAAACCGCCTGAGACATCCCCACAACATTGCTGCGAACGGAACCGTGAAAACACCCCTGGCGGCTCCCCTTGGAGGTGCTGAAACCATCGCCCCGCCTGAGACATCCTGACAACCTGCTGTGTGTGAGTAAGTCAGACAATGAGGTCTGAGTATGAGTAGGTCTGAGTAGGAGTAAGTCTGTGTATGAGTACGTCTGGGAACGAGTCTGAGTATGAGTAAGTCTGGATATGATTGAGTATCAGCATGAGTAAGTCCGAGTATGAGTGAGTCTACGTATGAGTAGGTATGAGTATCAGTAAGTTTGTGTATGAGTAAGTCTGGGTATGAGTATACCTGAGCATGAGTAAATCCAAGTGGGAGGAAACGAGCTGTACCGCAAATAATGTACACGAGTACGAGCGGGAGTGGGTATGACGATGACTGGGTATGGATTTGAGTGGGTGTGAGCTTACTGTGTCATGAAAAAGTCTGAGTATGATTTGGTCTGGGTATGAGTAAGTCTGGGTATGAGGAGGATGAGGAGGAGGAGAAGAGGAGGGAGTAGGATGCGTCCAAGTAATAACAAGAACCCCATCTTAGGATATGGGGAAAAGAGACGCAAATCCCAGGATGCCCCATATTTCCACTAGTTTTCTGGGCTCTCGTCTTCTCCCCGACTTCCCATCTTTTTCTACTGGGAAGCGACGATTCATGGTGTCTCTGTGTGTTTTCCCCTCCTGAGTGTCGCTCTGCCCCGCCGGGCGGGGGGCCAAGAGAAGCTCGGGACGTTGACGCTTGAGGGCTGGGACGTGCTCAGCGTGTCGCGCCGAATCGCAGTGGGCCATCCGAACCAGCGGCGCGACACGCCGAGCAGACGCTCCTGGCCGCAGCATCTACTAGAGCAGAGAGCTTCTTGGAAGGGCCCTGTCCCAGAGATCCGATGCCTCGATTCTTCAATTCGGGGTCCCTGGCTGTCTGGACGCCCTCCCCGGGGTCGGCGTCTCAACAGCGAAGGCCCCGAGAGGCCGAAAACGACGAAACCACGTGATTTTTTGTCTAATGAGTTGGAGTTCTGCGTTCCCAAGTCCCCTGACGGTTCTCGGGCCACAGCTCGGGCCTCCGGCGGCCGTTCGGGATGATCGGGGCCCCTCCGAATGCCTTTGGCGTGGCGCAGCGGCTGGCAAGGGAAGGAGCCGACGAAACCGTCAAAAAAGTTGGTCTGGATTGCCCTCGCCCCCCTCTCTCCTCCCTCCCAGGTGACTCCTCTCCGAGCGGCGCGCGGCCAGGCTTCCTTGCACCCCCTTGGCAGCGCCCGAGATGGCAAAACTTCGGGTTGCGCACAACCCCCAGCTTGTCCCGGCTGGCCTCAACGAGCCCCGCGAGTAGTCTCAGCTGGCCTCACCAGGCCCCAAAGAGTATAGTCTGGGGCGGTCTCCACAGCCTGCCGCCGCCTCCGGCGGCGCCCCCCGGAGCTCTGCGCCCCAAGGCATTCGGTGCTGAGACCGCCCCAAGACTCCTCGGGGGGCCCGTCGAGGCCAGCCGGGACTGCTCGGGGGGCCTGCTGGGGGCCAGCCAGCACCACCCGGAGGGGCTGCCCACCGGCCCGGGATGGGGGGGGGGGCGGGCGACCGTGCCGGCGGCGGCTTCCGCCCGCTTGAAGGCGCTCTCCGCCTCGCCGCGGAGCGCGGGTCGGGGCGGGGGCTTCCTGTGGCTGCTGCTGCTCCTCCTCCGCTGACGGGGAGCGCCTCCTGTGAGCTGTGAGCTGATAGCGTGAAGTTCGGTACCGATGTCTACCTCCGAACGCCTCCTCCTCCTCCTCCTCCTCCTCCTCTTCCAGGCCGCCTCGTCCTCCTCCGCCACCGCCTCCTCCGACTCCTCCTGGCCGCCTCAAAGACCCCCCAAGCGTCCCGCCTTGCCGCATCCTTTCAGCCTCCTGGCCGCGCTCGTCCTCCGCGGATGGGGAACGTTAGAGGGGGCGAAGTTTCGGGGATCGAGACTTTCGGGCGTCTTCGTCGGTTCTCGACGGCTTTCGTCTTATGGTTGCTGCTGCTCCTCCTCAGCTGACGGGGAACGTTGGAGGGGACAGCAGTTCGAGATTCGAGGCTTTCGGATGTTTCGCTATCTCTCGGCGGCTTTGCAGCCTCGGGATGCCTCCCAGCGGCTGCGCCTCGCCGAGAGCGTTCTGGAGATTCTCGCCTCGTTCCGAACAACCGCCAGAGGCATGACCCGAAGACCACTAAGGAGCTGGCTCGAGGGAGGGAAACAGCGAGCTGGAATCGGCGATACATCGCCGACAGATTGGAGAAAGGCCTTCGACAGCGAATCTCCACGTCCCTGGGTGGGTGGGCCATCAGACCCCTCGACTGTTAGGAGGCAACTCCTGGGAGGCCTTCGAAAGCACCATATCAGGCGGGATGAAACCCGCGCGAACCAGCGCCGCCGCCCTGGCTGCAGCAGCCAAAGTGCGGGCTGCACAGTGACTCTGGCCGTGACGGCGAGGGAAGGCCAGCTGCACCGATGCCTGTTAAACCTCTGAGCTCTGGGGCGACCTATCTCGATCCCCGGCCTGACTGATAGAAGAGAGGCCCGTCGTGGCCAGCCTCGCCTGCGGTCGGGGCACTCCCTCACGCCCCCTCTCCCGCGTCCGCAGGGTCGAACCTGACGGCAACTCCTGACCCGCGCCGGCGACAATGCCCGTGCAACGGCGGACCTGGACGGACCTCGCTGGACAATTCCGCACCGCCTAGCAACGCCGACCAGGCTGGTCAGATCGACCGGTTCCTGGAACACTGAACCAAAACTTCTGCGGGGGCGCATTTTTTGCTTCCGCCGCCGTCTGCCGCCTTCCACCGGAGGCGGCCTCGTTCTCCTTCCACCAGCTCCCGCCGAGGCATCTCCTTCGACCCTCCCAAGCGAGGCCCTCTCTGGAACGACCCACCCGGCCACCCAGACGGGCTCCGGCCGCAGGGGGGCAGCAAGCACGCGAAGGTGTCAGCGGTCGCAGGTGAAGGCCGAATCAGAATCCACGGCCCCTGGCTCGAGCACGCTCAGTTATGTTGCATCCTCGGGGGACCTTGTCTGTCCCGTCGCGGCCCTGTCCGCGTCGAATCCGTGTCGAATCCATGTCGGACGCGTCGGATCCGTGTCGAATCCGTGTCGAATCCGCGTCGAATCCACGCCAAATCCGTGTCGAGTCCGCATCGAGCACGCGTCGGGCCCCCAAAGAGACATCAATTTTTGGGACAGGCGATGTCCCCCGAAGATGCAACAGAAGCTCAGACCTCCCCGAACAGCGAGTGCCAGGCGCAACTTCTGGCCACAACATTGCCACCCACTGCCGCGAGCTGTCTGACCCTGAATTTCGATGATTATCATGCGAGTGTGGCAAGCATTCTTCCTGAGCGTTGCCGGGGCAGCCCGCGTCCGAGCGGAGACGAATGGACCGCTCGGAGCCCAATGCAGCTCTGGGAATGTTCGCTCGCGATGCCCAGCGCAGCACTGGGCCGAACCCGACGGGCAATCATCAGCTGCAGCAAGGAGACTTCCCCCCACCTGCCTGGGCAGCTTGGGGGGAGCCTACAGCAGCTGCAGACAAGGTTGACCTGCATTCGGCCACGTCCCAAGCAGCTCGCAGCATGCGGGCACCCCCGCTTGTGGCAAATGGCCGCGAGGAGCCTGGTGCAGCTCTGGCGGACGGCAGCGGCTGCAACAAGGAGACCCCCACCCAGACATCTGGTGTCCCGATATTTTCGGGACACGGGCCCCCGACCTCTCGACCACTTCCCCGGGACGGCTTTTTCATCCCGAGTCCTTTTTTGACAGTCCCGCGGCCTGGTAAGCGCCGCGAGAGGCAGAAAAATATGAAACACCTACTCCAAATCTCATAGTTACGGGGGGAGGGTCAACAAGGTGTTTGACAGCGCGCCTGGGACCCCCCCAGGAGCGGAAGAGTGGTACAGCAACGGGTCCAGCACCAAGCCCACCAAACACTTTTGCTGTACGAGGCCCGTGAGACCCCGCACCCAAAGTCAGTCCCCCCCCCCCCCCAGAATTATGAGATCCAGAGAGGACGATTCGATGTTTCGAGACGCCGAATGTCTTGGCTCGACCCTTGACCGGCACCCGAGCAGCTCGGGGGGGAGGGGCGCCTGCTCCAACCGCACACAGAAGCATATATCCCAGACCCCCGACGTCGTGTTTTTTTTCATGACGTCGACCCCCAGAGGTTTCGACCCCTTCCCCGGGGCCGGTTTGTCATCCCGAGTGGTTTTTTGACGGTCCCGAAGCCCGGCAAGGGCACCCAGAGGCCGAGAGCGGCGAACAACCTCCCGTCGTGATTTTTGTTCAGTGCTCGAGGGGGTCTGGGGTGCTGGCCCGTCACGCGGACAAGCCCTCCGAGCAGCTCGGGGGGTGCTCGGAAAGCAGGCGGGCACAGCCCCCTGCACGGAGGGCCTCGGGCAGCCGAGGGCGGACGAGCGGACAGCGCACGCACCCGTGCCCATAGGGGGGGACGGAAACGGCTGTGGGTGCGTGCTGTCGGAGGGGTGTGCCCGCTCGAGCGGAAGCCTCCCCCGAGGTCGGACAGCCCCCAAAAGGGGTACGATCGAAGACAAAGAGGGCGGGCATCGAAGGTTCGGGAAATACAGGTTGACGGACACTCGAACAGGTAAGAGCGAACAGTCTTATAGCGATTGTTGTTGAGCTCTCATTTTTGAAAAAATGGCGGATCCCCCCTCACCGGTGCATGCTGTTTTTTCTCAGTCAAAGTGTGCCCCTCGACGCTCGCACCCTGTTATTTGTCAGGGAAAGTCTTGGTGCTTAAACTGTGCCCCTGGCCCCCCGGATTACAACAACAACAACAACAACAACAGCAGTCACTTTACCCGAACGCTCAGTGTTCTCACCAGTGCCAGGGTTTTCATGCGACGCCAGCCAATACCCCCACTTTGTGGGGGGGCAGTGCAAGCTCTACCAAATATCCACACGACTCTTCGCCACCACCCACACCCAGCTTCCCGCCCTATGACGTTCGGACACTTCACTTCGTGGCCTGCGGACGACCGTGGCTACTACACTGGCGTGGAGTACACACCCACAGAAGTTGTTAAGCCTACGTTCGTACACCCACAGAAGTTGTTAAGCCTTGTTAACCCACAGAAGTTGTTAAGCCTTCCACAGAACATCTGTTGCATATGATGCATATGGTACATGATACACATGATACACATGATACGTACTCACAAGATAGTTGATCACATCTTTTGGGCAAATTCCTGAGGGATGTGGGAATACACAAGAGATTTCGGCGTGCGCGCGCGAAGAAAAAACGAATGTGTCCCGCATGGTATTATTTGACAGGGATGATGGCCCTGGCAGGTGCGCAACCGTTGTCGCAGAAGTTCGAAAAAGTTGCTCGCAAAAGCCCGTTTGACAGAAATGTTTAAAAAGTGTTGGTTTCCTACGAATCCGCAAGAGCGCGCGGGATGAGATTTTGACATTTTTTTGTTGAAAAACCATTGGTTTTTTGATGTTTTTATGTTAAAATCGCTCGAACACTAAGCTTTTGGAAGGATTTCGTCTTGCGCGCGCGAATGTCCACTTTACCTTATTTTTTGCAAGGGATTCTTGAAATTTGATTATATTAGAACAAGAAATGTCATTTTATAGTGTTTTTTGCAAGGGAAAGCGGGGGGGAACAAAACAACCGGATCTTGATCACATCGAATTACCTGAGGCTTCCTCACGAAAATGATGAAAATGTAGCTGCGGCCTAGGCGGCGCAGGGGGGCGTGCACCAGGGGTCCCAACAATAATTATTCTTTAGAATTAATAATGTTCAACAACAACAACAACAACACAACAACAACAACAACAACAACCAACAACAACAACAACAACAACAACAACAACAACAATCATTTTACCCGAACGCTCAGTGTTCTCACCAGTGCCAGGGTTTTCATGCGACGCGAGACAATACCCCCACTTCGTGGGGGGGCAGTTCAAGCTCTACCAAATATCCAAACGACTCTTCGCGACCACCCAAACCCAGCTTCCCGCCCTATGACGTTGGGACACTTCACTTCGTGGCGTGCGGACGACCGTGGCTACTACACTGGCGTGGGGTACACACCCACAGAACTTGGTCACTTATTCGGGGCGCGCGTGTGCCCAGCATCCTGCAATTGTGACATACAATACATGACACAGACAGACAGAGAGAGAGACAGAGAGCAGACAGAGAGAGAGACAGAGAGAGCGGAGTTGGTCACATTTTTGGGGCAAGTTCCTAAGATCGTCGTGTTTTTTGTTGGTCTTGCGCGCGCGAATGTCCACTTTACTTTTTTTTGCAAGGGAGTATTGAAATTTGATTATGTTAGAACAAGAAAAAGTAGCTCGCGCGAGCTCATGTAACAGAAATGTTGAAAAACCATTGGTTTTGTGGGAGTCGGACAGCGCGCGCGGGATGAAATTTGGACATTTTTTTTTGAAAAACCATTGGGTTTTTGATGTTTTTATGTTGAAATCGTTACGAAACCTAAGGTTCTGGAAGGATTTCGTCTTGCGCGCGCGAATGTCCACTTTACCTTATTTTTTGCAAGGGATTATTGAAATTTGATTATGTTAGAACAAGAAAAAGTAGCTCGCGCGAGCTCATGTAACATAAATGT